AGTGCTGCCATCGTGGAATGATGGATGTTGATCTGATCTGTGTGCCTTCTAAATATACGTGAGGATTTCAGAGGATGACCTTCAGTTGATCATCTACGCTTAAGACGCATGGCTCTGATCCTCGTAGATTGAATTCTGGTGGAGAACATCCTATTTAAGACTTATAAATCCTTAAGATAACCAAGGAAGTAATCAGAGAAAAAAAAGACATAAAGCATCATTCTGGACATCTGTGTGGTGTTTTCTGTTCTCAAGACTCAGATATAGCAAAAGCTAGGGGTGCAGGGAGTGCGTGTGAAAGTATGTGTTTAAGGAACAGAAGGATAATAATGTGGAAAATCTCTTTTGACTTAGTTTGGGTGTTTACCCGAAATCTCGACCTGCAGGCACCCTGTCATAAAAAGAGCTAGAAGTTGGACTGTGTTTTGAAGGCAACTGATGTGAATGATCAGGAATACGGATGCATTTCTCTTATGAAGAAATTTAGCGTCTGGGTCGTTAATTTTAGAAAGGAAAAAGAGCTTGTGAAGAGAAGGTTGTGATTGTTGTGGAGGAGGTAATTGGGAGTGTCTTTCTTGCAAGTATTTATTTTGACAAAACTCAATGTGAATGAAATTGATTGCCAGAAGCAATGCTGTAAGGTATTAATATTCCAGGGCTGGAGCGTTTATGGGTGGGCAAGGGAAGATTTTCCCCTCATGTTTGTTATTAAGGACAGGTGGCTCAAGTAGAGCACTACACTAATGCCGAATATGTATTTACATTTGTGGAGAGAGAGGTGGGATTTTTTGTGTGTCTCTCTCACCCCCTCACAGAGAGCATCTCGAGACCCATTTCCAGCGTTTTGTGAAAATAACATCTGATGGTGTGCTACTATTAATTAGGGCTACATCTTACATGCATTGCTCACTGCCTAATGCCTGGAAAAGTTTGAGATGTTCCAAGAATTAAGAAACCATGCATGTTCCTTCTGCCAACCGTCGTGATGGGAAAACATCTGAAGAAGCCCGTTAGTGGAAAATTAGATACTTCTGTGAAAGAGATTTTTAACTTTTATTTTTTATTTTTTCTTCTTTTTTAATATAAAAACTTCAGTTTTCTAAACTGTTCCCAGTACTGAACTGAAACTCGCTGTACTCCTTGAACTGGAAAACTGGACATCATTTTTGAAAATGAGGTTGAGGATTCTAGCCAGGTGGTTGCAGTTCTCTCTTTGGTGTAAACTTTCTTCCTTATATTCTGTACCACATGGTATGTGGTCAGAGCCATTTCTTCATCTTCAGAGACTGCTGACTAAGCAGTTGGTGCTCTGATAATCCTCCGATGCCAGATGTGCAAGATTTCCTTGTAGAGTCAGTCTCCTCTTTGGAGACAATTTCAAATGACTTAGGGTTTTATATTTACTTTGCAAGATAACGGTTAAAACAAAATGAGGCAATTCTTTGCTGTTGTAGAGAGTGCCAGATAGTTCCCCTTTCCCTGGTTTTGCTCTAGAGGAAGTGATTAGAAAAAAAAAAAAAAGCCTCTTGGATTTTGCATAACGATCTGGAGGACAGAAAGGCTCAAATGGGGAGATTTGAAATTGCTGCCAAACTGAAGAACTTCCCGTGTTGAATAACACTGAGCTGGTGACTCTGCCCGTTCAGCCTGATTTATTCTGAAGGTTTAATTCCCCAAAGCTGTGCGGATTAGGCAGTACGGAGTGGAACGAGAAAACGGCCGTCCTCGAGGTGGTGGGTCCTTGGCTCCGCAAGGAAGTGCATGTTGGAAACCTGGTAACTGAGATAGACTTCACACGGTGGCATGTTATCCTTGATGTCCAAGTTGGAGCACGCTTTTTAGGTGTAGGAGAGAACATTACTGTTCTCCATTCTTACTCCTTTGCTTTTCTTAATTTCATTTTGGATATATTGGGATCAATTGTACCTCATACATAAACTTCCTGTAAGAGTGTATTTCCCCTGGGCAGGTTGCTCTCCTTTACAAAAGGAAGTAATTCAAATCTGTGTCATTCCTGGCTAGCAGGAAGCGTGGCTAGCTGCCCGCAGGTTCGGGCTTGTGGGTGAGCAGCTTCAGGCGATTCCCTTATCCGCCCGGGAAAGGTGCCGCCGCCGGCGGTTTTTCCCGTCTCCTGCCGAGGCGTCCGCGGAGCAGCTCCGCCCTCTGCCGGCCCGACCGCGCCGCGCCGAGCGGTCGGGAAGCGTTTTATGGAGATCCTGCGGGCTGTTCGTGGGTTTACAGCACAGGCGTGCAGTTTCTGGGATCGTGTTCCGCAGTAAGTACTTGCTAGTAAGCTGGCTTTTTTTTTTTTTCCCAGCTGAAGTATGAATTAGCTTCATATTTTAATACTAAACCGTGTTTGCAATGTTCTTTGGTAACAGAGAGATGATGGTTGGGATAGTTATGAAAAAAATAAGATGATTGTTATTATTTTTTTAACTATTTGGAGCTAATTATGTAAACCATCATTGTTTGCAGTTTTTGGGTCAGCAGCTGTTGCCTAGTTGTGTTTTGGTCTGTGGCCTGCTAGGTGGTGCTGGAGTACTGGAGGTCTCCGGATCGTGAATTGCGTTTTAGACACGAAATGACGCCATTGCTACAGAGACAACCTAAAGAAGAGCTAGAGGTGTTTTCCTGTAGGCTATAGCTGAAGGAGACCCGAATTCTGTGTCGATTGTCACTTCAGTGCAGAAATTAATAATTCAAAAGGCTTGATGAAGTGTAGTGGAACTAGAAGTTCAAGCTTCTTTATGCTTTGCTTCAAAAATCCTCCTAGTTATGAAAGAAAATTCTCTGTCTCCTACTTAGTCCCTAATGCTTTAATGGATTTGCTGTTTGTTATTTAGGATCTCTGCTTTATGCACGCATCTGGGTAGTGGTTGTTAATTTCGCAGCGGTGAGGTCTTGCAAGGAATAGAGCTTGTAGTGACTAGCTGGTATCTGATGAGCAAATCAAATGTTAGTTTGCAAAGCACAATAGCTGGTCTTCCACTGCGCTCTCGCCTTTCTGCTTGATATGTATGATGGCGGAGAGGTGAGTTTCATAGGGTTTAGACTTGTACCTCCTCATAAAAGAGTTAGATGTAGTCGCTTTTTATTGAAAAATACAATACTAGTTGGGGGACAAGTCATTAATGCCGGTTGTGCATAGAGCTGCCTCCTGCCGAACGACTGTGTGCTTACTACAGAAGCAGACATTTGAATCTGACCAGACAACTTCATTTACATTTGTGCGTTCTGAAACGTGCAGCTGCTCTTTTCCCAAAATGTTTTGTCACAGATAACTTCACTTTTAATTTGCATTTTAGGTGGTATCATGTTGACTATTTAAATGTTGCTAACACAGCTGAAAATATTTTTGTCTAAGAATATGCTGATGAAGATCATAAATTGTTTTAGGGAGTAGAGAACTTTCAATACTTGACTGTACAAATACAATTTGATATTTTTATATTGTTAGAAAGGCAGAAGATAACAGAAACTATAGTTGTATGAATGGATTTTATTACTGTGTAAAGTCATGGAAATTGTATTTTAAAATAGCAGTTGTAATTGTAATAACCTGAGGTGGAAAGTAAGTGGATTTCCAAATTAAGACCATGTGAAGTCTAAGTTTATGTCATACTAATTAAAAATTTGCATTTACTTATGCTGCAGAGTCTATGGGTGAATCTGTCAGAGTTTGGGCATGTTATCAATTTTGGAAGATGTGGTTATAAGGAGATAGATAGAAGATGGATGTTGCTCGAAGAAATAAAGCAGTGTCCAAGCTTGCATTTGTTCGAAAGAACTGGATTTGAGGAAGAAGTAGGGAGCAAGTTCTAGACAGAGTTGAACGTATTGGCATGAGCTGAATTTTGAAACTTGAAAGTAAGAACAAGGAATTGGGATCTGATAATGAGTAACATTAGTATAAGGCCTTTGCAGAGAAGTAAATGATGTAAGCAAGCTGCAGAAGAGCTTCTTTGAATGTGTTTAAGTATTCTGAGCATTGGGCAGTGTTTAGAGTGCACACGGAGACTTACCTTTGTCACAGCTTTAAAGTGTCTCTGGTAGGAAAACTAAAATGCATATGCTATAATTCCGTGTGATTTCATGGTAGATTCAGGACGCCTGCTTCACAGTGACATTCAGAACTGACAGTCCTGATAAGTTTTTCACTAGTAAACTCCATTCTGAATAATTCGCGTGTATCTTCGTAAAGAACAGCAAATAATTGTGATAAGTTCTGTACTAAAGTTACATTTAATATATAGTGCATGTTACTTAAACACAGTCAGCATCTTGCTCTGAAGAAACTTCAGCATATTACTTAAATGCAGTCAGCATCTTTTTACTTTCTTCAGTTAAGTGAATTCCAGTTTGGAGTGGACTCATTGGCTCAGAGGAGATTTTCATACTTGAAAGAAAATTTGAACACCCTTCTGGTAACCTGAGGCTTGTCATCGTAGGAAATATGAATTCATAAAACTTGCCTTGTGATAATTGTTAGGCACTAGACTGTCAGTTTGAATGATTGCAGTTCTCATTATCTTCAGATGCTGCATGTTATTTTTTTTTTGTCTATGAATATGTTGAATTGATTTTTGGCACATGCAGTCAGTTCTGTTCCTGACAGCAGCACTATAGTAGTTGTAAAGTGAGAAACTGCTGTAGTGTGCATGGAAAATTAGCTTTTTGCTTGGGGAGCTGTGAGGAACTTAAGATAAAATATAAAGAATTATTCAAACTGTCTTGAACACACATTTTCACAGAGGCTTTGTTCCATGAGAGTGTTATTCTGTGGTGCTTATTGACCTCTATATGAAAACTTACTCATGTAGACAATAGACATTCCAGTTTTTAATTTAAAATAGTTGAAAATTGGCTGTTTTTTGGTTATTTTTGGCAGATATTTCTGTAGAAAGGCAGCATGAGATGTCTGCATTTAGTATTTTAATATGACTGCCTTCTGTGTCTGGTAACACTTCTGGGAACTGTTTCCTAGGATGTGATAATAGGAGGATCAGTCTTTAAACATGAAATAGCTTGTTTGCGTAGGTTTCCAACTACTTTGTTCCAGTAATGTAAACTGTTTTGAGCTTTAGGACATCTATAAAAATCGCCTGTAACTCTTTGAGAAAAAGCTTTGGAGATGCTCTAGAAATTAGTATCATAATCCTCCAGGTTTGACTCCCGGTTTTTGGTCGGTATGTTTTCCTATACTGTATCATTCTGGTTTATCCATGCCATGCAGTGTGTCATTCCAGCTATCCAAACAGTGTTAGCTTGAGACTCAGTGACTGCTTATTTTACCACTTGGAGGAAAACGGGAATATGGTGGTTTATATGCTTCATCTCTGAACAGCTGCAGCTCAGAATCTCTCCTAAGAGTTAATCTAAAGTCCTTATTACCTTGAGATTACTAGAGGGAGAGAGGTGAAATCTCTTGGCAGAGATAAGTGTGGCCTTGTAAGTGAAACACAGCACTAAAGCCTGAGACTTATGCAACAATCCTGATACCTGAACTTTGATAAACTAAGATACAGAGAGGTTAAGTCATTTGGTCATCAGTAGAACTGGGAGTAGAGCATACCTCACAGACTTCCTGTCAAGCACAGTTTATTAATGCTTGCAAAATGTTTGAAGCTCAAATGGATGGTGCTATGAAATAACTTATCCCTGCAGTCACTGTATATAGTGTGCCTGTGTCATTCTCTAATTTCTGACTGTTAAAGATAATTAGATTTTAAAGTAATTGTTCAAAAGCCAGGGAATACCTTGATCTCCTGCCTGGCTTTGCTATGTTGTTATTGCTAACTCAAGTGAGTTTGAAACTCTTCTCTGGTGAGAGCTGCTGAGTCCTTGTGCTGTGAGAACATGAGGTATGAAGTCAGAATAACCATTACGCTAGCGAGCTTGATTTAGAGTCAGTATCTGTAGTTTTTCTCTTTGTGAACAGGGACTAGGATAAATAATGGCCAGGCTGTGTTTTCAAAGCTTTCTTCATTATAGGAATAGATGAGGAGAATTCTTGTATTGTGGCACTTTGGATTGATGAGTGTTTTTTTCACTGAAAAGCAGTTGTGGCTAAGTAAGTATGTATAGTGCAAAATTTGCTGAGAGGGTGCCTTATGTGTTCAAAAAAACAAGCTTACCCAAGCTGTTTTATTAGTAAATAGTGTGGAACATCTGACTGAGGTGCTTCACGCTTTTGTTATTTATTGCAATGACCAAGTTTCCATTAAAAAAAAAAATTCTGTATACATCACGAATATAAAATGCTGTCATGTTAAGACTATAATGCGAGTATGCAAAAATGTGTGTCAATGTGAACTTAAAGTTATTGGCAAGGGGAAGTGTTTGTAATAGAGGATTGAAAGTTGTGCAGGGTTTCAGATCTGTCATAAAAGGATGTGAAATGTAATTAACCTAAAATAACCTTTAAAATATTTTTTGAGCCTGATAAATTAAATAAGCTGTTGAGATAACTTAATGAGAGATTTTAATTTTATACCTTAAATAATATCCTGTTAAAATCCTGAAGATTTTGCTTTGTGATGAAATCCATTGAGACTTACATTTTCACAATGACCTCATGATTCAGTAACACTATTAATATATTTGGTGCATATTTGAGGGGTAAGGTCTAGGTTAATGGCAGCATTTGTTCTTTAAGTGCTTGAAGCCACAAAGCTGTAATTGAAGATATGAATGCTGAAACCTCATTATTTTAATGTGGTCATTCGGCGTAGTGACAGTAAAAGTAGTTACATGATGAACTTCGATGGCAAGGTTCATAATTTGTGCATGAAAACAAATTATTACGTGAAACTTGGAATTAAAATTCTCTGCCTTGGAGTTTAAATAAAACATGAAACTTCATGTCTAAAGTGGTTTCTGTATTTGTCTTCACTCAATTAGAAATAAGTATTTGCGCACCTTTAATATAGAGAATACTGCTGTGTGGTTTGTTTACACGAATAAAGTTACAGTGCACGCACTAAATTTTTCACACAAAGACTTGAAACTTTATTACATATTTGTTTCAAATAGTTAAGTCTGCAAAGGTACTTTTGGCAAATTTGCATCTTAAATTTTCCAAATATTGGTCATGGAACTAATTTAATGGATGAGCCGTTGCCAAGGAAAATACGTAGTATGTTTATCACAGTGTGGAGAATCCAAGGGTTGAAGACAAAAGTCAGAATGTTCATTACTACTCACGTTTCATCAGTGTTGCTCACCTTGGTTGCCTGTTTGCGGCTTTGCACACTGTGCTGTCTCTAGCATGAG